ATTCATGTCATCATTCGAGGGCGTGACGGTAGAGTTGATATATGGCAATGTAAAGGTGAGGCTGGATAGCTGAGTAGAGATATGTGATAGAAGTTCAACAGTTATTTGTGTGTTGTCTTGCTGAAGTAATGAATACGCTGGAACAACAAATGTGGTGACCACTGCAGAAAAGAGACCATCCTGTAGTCAAGGTAAGATGTCAGATTGAAGATCCCTGGGCACTAGAGTCATACCAAGACCAGTAGCGTATCAACATCCTCTGCATAGTCTTCCATGTCTTCATCGTCATACGCCTTCATGTGGTCCTTGACATATGGCCATCCTTCAGCGGGGGCCTGTTCGAGCTTCACCCTGACCGTCTGCAAAGCTTCAACGTCAACATTCATTCAAAGGCAAAGGATGCTCATGAGCTTACCTTCCTAGTCATATCTCGTACATTCGCCTGTACTGGCCCTCAATGTAGGAATGTAACTACTATATTGTCAGACTACGGGCCTACGACGAGGCAGGAGAAGAAGTAAAACGACGGATAGAGCAGACTCCGCGTGCTGGATACGCCCAGATGCATGGAAGCGCGAAGGACTAATCAATGCAGCGCCCTAGGACGTGACCTGGTGGAAGCGGGAAGCATGGAACGCCGGCCGAAGAGTCCCCTCTCAGCACGAGGTCAATGCGAACGCCTGTAGCAAAATTCGCCATGCAATGACGAAATTTCCAACAATCTCCCGGTTGGGATGAAGGGACGACTGGTATTGTGATTAAAACTACATTTTAGTGCCTAGGCGCGAAACCGAGAGAAGTGGTCCTTGTTACGTAACTTGTTTGACTAGCTTTGCCGGGTTTACCAAGGGAAAACCTGCACTCACCACCCTGTGCAACCGTCGAAAATAAAACGAGAGGAATTCGGCAGGGAGCAAATATATTCCAAGGCCATCTTCCTGCCAGTCTTCTCCGGGTGCTCATTTGATTACGTCGTTTCTTCTTCTCGCAATGTCGACGGTACCCGGGCAGGACGCAAAGGACAAGGTAGTCGAGAGTTTCAGTCCTTTAGTCGATGCATTTTGAGTCTCTACATCCTAGGGCAACGCAGCCTTCAAAAGTGGGGATTTTCCCGCAGCCATCGGTCACTATACCGCCGCCATCCTCGCCGACCCCAAGAACCCGACGTACCGCTCAACCGTGCGGCTGCTTACATCAAACTAGGCAAGTATGTAGCTGGGCTCGTGGAGTTGAGGTTGATGAGGCTCAACAGGTGGTGTCATAGGAACGAGGATGCAGAACGTGATTGCGATGTGACAATCAGGCTCGACCAGAGGAACGTGAAAGCGCGGTTCAGGAGAGGGCAGGCACGGATTGGGCTTGACAAACTGGAGGGTGCGAGAGATGGTGCGTGTTCTGAGCTGCTATTCGAGGCGTAGAGTTGCTCAGCTGCGCTCAAAGATTTCAAGCGAACCTTACAGCTCGACTCTACGAATGAAGCCGCGAAACAGGAGCTCGCGAAAGTCGAAGCGCTGCTGCAGTACCGCTCTGCGAATGCAGGAAAGGTGAGTCCAAGAGATATGTGTTTGATTCTTATGTCCTTGACTTCTGCATAGAAGCGTACGCCAATTGACGTTACTGTCCCTCCTTCTGCCTCAAGAGCATCCAGTAATGGTTCCGTGCCAAGGCGCCGTCGGGTACCTATCAACATTGTTGACACGCCTTCGCTATCTACATCGTCACCCGTCCCTGCAAAATCTCAAGCCGAGACAGCATCTGAACCAAAGAAACTCTCGAATATTGCTTCGGTTTCAACTGTAGATGATTTCATGAAACCAGTGTCGACACGAACCCTCACTCCATCTACATCTGCCGCTCCCGCTGCGACGTTGGCGCCTTCCTCTAAATCAGCCTCCTTCAAAGATCTCAAGCAAGCCCGAGAAGCGAATAAGTCTTCTCCAGGCCCAGCCCCTTCCACTAGCGCTGCAGCGCCGACAAGTCCACAGCCCGCATCACCACCAGCTGCTGTGGCTCCGCCGAGAGCAGGCGCAGGGGGAGGCATATTCCGGTCAAACGGCAAGCATACAATATTCGGCTCGAGTACACAAGGGGCAGATGTTCCGAAGAGCGAATCCTCGGCCCCTCCGAAACCTGCGTCGGCGGCCAGCGGCCAGGGACCTATGTCGCTCTTCACATTCAATCGTACTTGGGCTAACATCGACTCGCCGGAGAGCAAATGGAGCTTCCTAATCGTGCGCCCTCTGGCTTATTCAGCGAGGTCTTCTTGTATGCTAATCACTGATGATCTTCCCCCAGGATAACGTCCCCCCAGCCTCGCTTCCGGCGATGTTCAAGACGTCACTGGAGGCGCCGCTTCTGGTCTCTGTACTCGGGACTTTCAAGTTTATCCTCGCAGAGCACGACGATAATAGCTCGGCGAGAGATTCTGTGAAAGCGTACCTCTTGAGTTTCGCGCGCGTACCACGGTTCAGCACCATTATGATGTTCATGAGCAAATACGAGAGAACGCTCGTCAAGGAGGTATGGGATGGTATAACCAGGACAGATGATCAGGTTGAAGTTGGTGTTAGAAAGGTGTGGGGTGTGCTGTAGATTGTCTGTCATTGCGTCATCTTAACATTCCGCACTCTGGCACTCTTGTGTGTGATGCCAGGAAGGAGGGTACTCAATGAACTTAAGTAGTGTCTCTGTCAAACTACGGGGCGGAGAGGTGGAAGGGACCGACCTGCTACCGCAGCGGGACTCAGGAAGCGACCCGCGCAACCTTGGGGGACGTGACGAAGCGCTTCATCAGAGCCTTGCGAGCTTCTTCTTATACATAGCGAGGCCGACTTTCAGAATTTACTTGCTAAAAGAGCTGGTTGGGGGGGGGGGGGCATGGCTGCTCGGAGGGATTCCGGTTTTACGTATTGTGATAATGTAGTTGAGCTGGACGTCGGACATTTGCTCGCGCCATCACCTTGAAGGCCGCCGCCGATCATACTCGACACCCTTTTAGACGGCGAGTGTCCACAGCGAACAGTTTATATAGAACACGCATTCCATGCGACAAAGACGAAGGTATGACATAATATACTCGGAGACATAACAGGACATGATGCAAAACATAAAGCTATCCGCTTACTCCGCTTAAGTAGCTATGAGTGACCCTGTCTGACCGGAAGGCGTTCAACAATAATGTCTTGAACGTCCAGAATTCGACAGATCCTGTTGTACTGTAGAGGAATCGTTTTCATGATGATGGCGACGGATGCTGTCCCGTCAGGATGCTTATCCGGATTCGCTTCGACCTCCCGGTAGGCACTGAGCAACGCCACCCTGATATCTCCCAGTGCCGTCGCGACGAGGGTGAGATCATCATGAAGACAGTTGAAGAGGGCTTCCACCAAGGGATCCACCTCGTCCGTTGCTGGCTGGAAAAACATCGAGGACCGCTCCTTGTAGTTATAGAATAGGCCGCGAGCAAGCTCGCGCTGCTTCTCGAGCTTGTCGGATGGCTGGTGGGGTTGGTTCCCTTTCGGCTTCACTACTCTGTCGATGACCATGTACAGAGAGACCCAGAAAAGTGACTCCCAATCGTTCAACGGGTGATACCGGAAAGGGAGGGAGGGCCTGATTCGCCTGATTCGAGTCCCAAAAATCGATGAGTCTGCGTACGCGAAATTCACAAGCGACTCGCCCGCTCTGCCGCCTCTGAGAGACACGATTTCCGGTTGTCTCGCGCCACTTGTGCCCAGAAACAAGTATCGATGGACGTCAACCTCCAACGACATGAAATACTCTGTACCCTAATACTTGTGTAAGCGTCTACAACAGGAGACTTCAGCAACAGGACGTACCGTGCGCATCTGATGACTAGTATGCTCCTCGGTATCCCAGCGTTTGGCGTACTCGAAGTCCGTCAACAACCCGCGCCCTTCGTATACCAGAATATTGCCGGTGCTAATGTCACGGTGCACCCAGCCCATGCTATTAATGATAAGTAGACCTACACTCTGGCGTCAATATAGATCATGCCATCCCAGAGAAACGTGAACTTACACAGCATCGCGCCATTGATAGCACGGAACGCGACACCGAGAGACTTCTCTTCGTGTAAGGCATGGCCAAACTCTTTGAACACGATGCGATAATGCGTCTTGGGGTCCAGTTGGACTATCCTTCGAGGAAATCGGTCAATGTACGACGACCGACTGAGGTGCGAACTTGGAGTCTTTCTCGTCGGCTCGCGAGATGGAGTGAGACCAGAGATCAGGTCAATAGACACCGTGAGCCCGTCGCCTTTGAGAAAATGAGCCCGAAGCAACGGGGTGGCGTCGGAGGAATTCGCGATCAGGACATCTCCGTGGACGCGGACAGTTGGGAGGTGTTCCTGCAGTAACTTCTGCTCTTCCGCGTCCCTTTCGGCGACGGCGACCCGGAGACTGTGATTGATGACTCCTTCTCGCTGAAGATCGGTATCGACCCAGTAGTCCTTGATGACTACCAGGGGAGACTTGCTGCCGTCAGTGGTCTGAAGGCAAGCAGACCAAACCCGCGTCCCACGCCCATATATACCGTCCGCCGCCATGTGCGAGAGAAGCTTCTCGGTCCTGTAGACGGCCTCCTTAATTCGACCATCATCTAGACGGCTGTGAACGGTGATGTCGTACTGGCAGCCGATCTGCGGATCGCACTCGTCGGGCGGAACACGAACGATGGTGGGATCCCATCCAAGGGACATCTCGTCAGCATACATCACTGTCAGGAAGAACGCGACGAGAGATTCGGGTTCCTAGAATACTTGTTAGTATCGCATGGTCGCGGGAAGATGTATTTACGCCACCTTGAAAAAGTCAAACTGAAGACTGGCAATTATTTGAGTACGGTCGCAGTA